TTACTAGAAAAAAGAAGGAACTTTAAATCAGCAATTACAAATAAGCACAAAAAAGTTTTAAAAAGTCAAATAAAACTAAAAGTATGAATGCCATGTCTCACCAAAAAGAGAATATTAATGATAATGTGTAAAATACAAACTATTTTTCAAAAAGAAATAGAAATCGTAGAGCAGAAAATTATAATAATTAAAATGAAAATTTTACTCAAGGATCTCAACAGAAAATTTGAGCTGGCAGAAGAAATAATCCACAAACTTGACAATAGATCAGTTGAAATTACCTATTCTATGAAACAGAACGAAAACAAATGAAGAAACATGAATGGAGCTTCAGACACCTTTGAAACAAAACTGGTGATCACATAAGGAAAGGAGAGAAAGAAAGAAAAAATAGAACAGTGAGTTTATGAAGAAATATTGGAAAATGTAAAGCTATAAAAGCTGCATTTTGAATGGAATAAGTATCTCAAATCAGAAACCCAACTTTTCTTCTTAAAAATCAGGAAAAGAAAAGAAAACTAAACCTAAAGTGAAAATAATAAAGACTAGAGTAGAAATAAGTGAAATAGAAAATAGGAAAACAATAGAGAAAACAATGAAACCAAAGGCTCATTCTTTAAAAAGAACCCCAAAATAACAAACCATTAACCACACTGACCAAGAAAAAAGAAGACTTAATTTACTATAATTATAAAGAAAAAACATTAATGACAATGTTATAGAAGTAAAAATATTGAACAATGATATGTCAACAAATTAGATAACCTACATGAAATGGACAAGTTTCTAAAAATACACAAATGACTGAAACTGACTCAAGAAGAAAGAGAAACCTAAATCACCTATCACAAGTTAAAGAATCACATTAGTAATCAAAACCTGTCCATACAGAACAGTCCAGACTCAGATATGTATTGTGAACTTTACCAAAGGTTTAAAGCATTAATAGTAGTCCTTTACAAACTTTTTCCAAAAAAGAGAGGAGGAATAAACACTTCCTAACTCATTTTATCAGGCTAGTACTAGGATGAATCTGGAAACTATCATTCTCAGCAAACCGACACAAGAACAGAAAGCCAAACACCACATGTTCTCACTCATAGGTGGATGTTGAACAATGAGAACATGTGGATTCAGGGAGAGGAGCATCACACACTGGGGGTATTTGGGGGGTGGGGGTAGAGGAGAGACAGCGGGGGGGTGGGGAGGGATAATATGGGGAGAAATGCCAGATACAGTATGCATCTAAAGTTAAATAAATTTTTAAAAATAAAATAAAGATAAATAAATAAAATTAAAAATTCCTTTAAAAGCAAAGGGATTCAATGAATGCTGGAATTAAAAATAAAATAAAGACATTGGATTAAAAGGAAACTATAGACCAATATCCATTATGAATATAGATGCGTAAATTCTCAAAAACTATTAGCAAATGGAATCTAGCAACATAAAAAAAAAGTATTATTTATCATGACTAGTTAGGATTTATCCTAAGGGTACAGAGCTGGTTCAACATATGAAAACTAATCAATGATATTACACCTTACTAATAGAATGAAAGCCGGAAACCACATGTTCACCTCAAAAGACATAGAAGAAGCATTTAACAAATTGAACACCCTTTTATGATTAGAAAAGCTGACAAACTAGGAATATAGAATGGAATTTTCTCAACCTAAAATGGGCATTTATTAAAAATTTATAGTTAACACAATGCTTGATAAAGAGATACTGAATCATTTTCCTCTAAGATAAGGAACAAGATATCTTGCCACTTATATTCAACATTGTATTGAAGGTTCTATTAAGGAAAATCAGGCAGCAAAAAATAAACAAAAGAATTTAGTTTGAGGAAAAAGTAAAGCTAACACTTTTTACAAATAACATTATCTGATCTTGTATAAAATGCTAAAAAAATTCATTAAAATCTATTAGACATAACAAATAAGTTTAACAAAATGGCAGAATACATGACCACAATACAAAAACCAATTGTATTTTTGTATACAAAAACACAGTTACAGTAACATGAAAAGGAATAAATATACCTATACTTCACTTTATAAATTTAGAAATAAATTTTTTAAAAGTGCAATACTTGTCTGTTACAAACTCCAAAACATTGTTGAAGGAAATTTAAGAATATGTAAACAAATGAAAAGACATCCTGTGTTCATAGATCAAAGACAATATTAGGATGGTAATACTCCCCAAATTAATATACAATTTAACACAACCCCTGTTAAATTGCAGCTGACTTTCTTCAGAAATTGACAACATTTATATGAACATGGAAAAGACCCAAAATAGTCAAACCAATATTAAAGAAGAAAAACAAAATAGGATGTGCTAGGTTTTCAAGGGAAGGCAAGAGTTAAAGAAAGACACGCACATGAAGAGGGCAGCTCAACAGCCAATGCAGCCTTTACATCCAGCATAAATTCTACAGAAGTGGGGGACCAGCATAATGCCAGAGCCCCCCGCTGCTTACAGGCCAGATGGGAGGGGTCTAGCAGTATGGCTTGCTCCCAGGCAGGATATTGATTAAGATGTTCCCATGATGAGAACATCTTATCAATGGGAACATCTTATCAATATCCTGCCCGCAGCAAGCCATACTGCTAGATCCCAAAACAAGGATCTCCTGGCTCTTGTTTTGTTGAGATATCATTGTGGTGTTTCCTGGACCTTTGCCCAGCAAGACATAATAGGGACGTTTCCTTAGTTGGGCCATTGTCTGCCTATGGTCAGGTGGCTGGGCAGAATGTTTCTCACATCCCAAACTCCTGTGAAATGTTTCACTTTGACCAAGGTCTGCAAAATAGCAGGGAATTCATAAACTTGTGCAGTTTGGACTAACAGGAAGGCTCACACTTCCTAGCTTCAAAAGTCACTAAAAAGTTATGGTAATCAAGACATTGTGGCACTGGCATAACGATAAACATAAAAGTCGGTAGAATAGGATCGAAAACCCAAAAATGAGTTCTTACACAGTCACTTGAGTTTTGACTAGCATGACAAGACAGGACAATACAATGAAGAAATAGCAGTCTCTTCAACGAATGGTATTAGGATAATTGAATATCTGCATGCAAAAGAATGGAGTTAGACCACTGCCTCACAGAATATACACAGATTAACTCAAAGTGTATAGACCTCGATTTAAAAGCTAACACTATAAAACTCTTAGAACAAAATACAGGCATGATTATTCATGGCCTGAATTAGGTAACGGTATATTAGATATCACACCAAAAGTACATTTAACAAAAGAAAAATTATAGATAAACTGGCCAAGGGAAGAAAAATACAGACCAATATGTCCGATGACTACAGATACAAACTCTTCAACCAAAAGCCTTGCAAACCAAATCCAGCAGCATATAAATACATTATACACCATGGCCAAGTGAGATTTATTGTAGAAATCCAAAGTTAGTTTAACATACCAAATTCAATCAACGCAATATATTACATTAAAATAATAAAGGACAAAAACACGCTTACTAACCAAAGTGATGAAATAGATTGTAATAGTTGATGATTTTATCTCCTTACCTATTTTCCCTGAATCCTTTCAAAATAGATAATTAATTCAAAACAAAATCCGTAATTTGGTGTCAAGCTAAAACTCTGCCGGGAGCCAAAGGAATGGCATGTTTGAGGAATTCCTGTAGGATAATATGTGGAGGAGAGTAGCAGAAAACGAGGCTGTAGAAATAAATTGAGAACAGATCTTAACGTGGCTCAACTATACCTTATTAAAGAATTCTGAATTTAGTCTATAGATACCAGGGTGCTCTCACAGGGTTTTTAACAACAGTGTTTCTTGATCAGCCCTTTCAGTTATATGATTCTTATCATTACAATATTTTCTGCAGCAAATTACAGCCCTTCCCCCTGCCCCCAACTCAAACTGCTACATCAATCAGGAATCATTTCATGATCATAAGATGGCTTAAGCAGCATAATTTCTGGTTCACAGCCAGCAGGAGAAATTGGCCTATCTCAGAAGCTGCAAGGAGGCCTCTCTATACTTCACCTGGCTTAATTGCCTCAGATCTGCTCATCTCTGAATTGAGTAATAGCAAACGGAATAGGATTACCACAGATTCAGACAAATCATATGTAGTAGGCTAATTTTGAGGAAGTCAACCAGAATGCAGTCAGTCATTCTGGCAGGAAAATAGAGATAGAATCAAAGAAGAACAAAGTTACAGATGAATATAATTAGGTGGTTGCTCTAACAGGCAAGACAAACAATGAGTACCTAAACTTAATGAAGAATAAAGAGAATATAAAGATATTTAGGAAGCTTATTAATGTTTTATATGTTAGTTTCACACTCAATGCTAGATCTTAGATTAAATAAAATTTAATACTTATCCTTTATTTCTATTTCCCATACCACTCAATAACTATTGAACATAGCTTTAAATACTAACCTGTTACTTGATTAGAAAACTATTTTTTAAATGTTCATGTATTTTCAGTTTTGTGTGTATGTGCTTATACAATATAACATTCTGCTGTGAACTTAAAAACAAAATAAAAAAACAGAGTTTTACTCAAGAAAAGAATGACACCATTCCTATTAGAATGCCTTCCACAGTGGCTCCCAAAAACCCTGTAGTATGAGCCAGATGGCTCTCTGCTCCATTGGTTGTTCAGGTATTTCTCTTCTGATCTAGAACATGAAGTAGAATCCCAAGAGAAATCAGGACTCACTAGAGTCCAGCTGAAGGTTAAAATCATTTTAGGAAGAAGAATATTCTAGTTTAATATAGTTGTTGCAGTTCATCAAGACTTCTGATATCTGCTGAGTTATAGGTCTGATATGCCTTTGGCTAGGCCCCCCAGAACAGAGTAGGTACTGTCTTCCCAGTACAGTTTTAACTAACCACATGCCAGGTTTGCATATTTGTATTCAATGGCTTAGGATAAGCCTCTTATTTTAGACTATAATAATGACCAATTTGCTATCACTCAATTCATCTCAGGTTCTTCGCCCTCAGAAATGTCACTGTCGGAATCCTTGGAAATCACACCATCCATAACTTCTATTTCTTTATAATTTGCAAAGAACCCATGTGACTCCAGTCAAGAACAAAAGATTAATTGTGAATTAGTGAAGAACTCTAATTTTTTCAAGAGGCCACATGGAAAATGAATTCTAATGGAGTCCTTTCCATTACTCTTATTTCTTAGTTCTTCAATAAAGCATGCGATTTGATCACAAATTGACTCTTTCCTTTTTAAAAGCCAATATGTGTTAACATGGATAAATATAGCCTCTCCAATCCCTGTGGTTGAGGGGATGTGGGAGAGTAGTGTTAAATGCCTACTTTATCTAGGTTGGAAGAGATTGGCTTAAATTAAGGGACTCCTTCATCCAAGAGGAGAGAATATTCTGATTTTGTAAGTTGGCAAAATGTTCATGTGGTAATGTCAAGACTTTTGCTCTCTGTACTTTTGTTTTCTCATCTGTAAAACAGAAGTAATAGTCTCTAACCCATAGAGTAGATGGAAGAATTAAATGACAATATATCATTAAAAGAGCTTCCCACAGCTCCTCATAGTAGTTCCTCAATAAGTTTTTATTACTTATTATTTATCAGCTTTTATCATCATATCAGTAGCATAATGGTATAGGAAGCCAGATTGAATTTTTACTGTTTTCCAAGAGTTGGTGATTAGAACCTCTCTCTGAAAGCAGGAGATGTACTCAATATTTTAAAGCCAGAAAATCACTTAAAATCTTGATGAAAATGTAATGTATTGAGTTGTGTCCCCCTCAAAAAATTATATTGAAGTCCTAATCTCCAGTACTCAGAATATGACTTATTTAGAAGTAGAGCATTTACAGAATCAATCAAATTAAAATGAAGTTATTAGGATAGAGCCAAATCCAGTATCACTGGTTTCTTTATAAAAAGGGAAAATTGGGCCGGGCACAGGGGCTCACACCTGTAATCCCAGCACTTTGGGAGACTGAGGCAGTTAGATTGCTTCAGGTCAGGAGTTCAAGACCAGCCTAAACAACATAGCGAAACACTGTCTCTACTAAAAATACAAAAATTAGCCAGGCATGGTGGCGGGCACCTGTAACCCCAGCTACTCAGGAGGCTGAGGCAGGAGAATCGCTTGAACCCAGGAGTCAGAGGTTGTGGTGAGCTGAGATCGTGCCACTGCACTCCAGCCTGGGAGACAGAGTGAGACTCAGTCTCAAAAAAAAAGAAAAGAAAAGGGAAAATTAGGCACAGACACAGATATGCACAGAGGGCAAACAATGTGAAGATGCTCAGGGAGAAAACTATGCAAAGATGAAGGACTGGAGCAATGCATCCAGAAGCCGAGAAGTGCCAAAGATTTCCAGCAAACCAGGAAGAGGTCAGGAAGAATCTTTCTCCTACAGGTTTCTGAGGGAGCATGACCCTGCCAGCACCTCGATTTTGGAGTTCTAACCTCCAGAACAGTGAGACAATACATTTCTGTCATTCTAAGCCACTCATCTGTGACACCTTGTTACATTCGCACTGGGAAACCAATGCAGGTGCCTTGTCACTATAAGGAACACTCTATTTCCCCATCCCATGGTACACGTTAGGTGTTTATGGAAGGAGGTTATCCTCTCACCTCAGCATTCCACAGTAGCAGTGTGGCATGCAAAAGGTTCTACTCTCTGAAGCTGGGGAAGAGACGAAGCAGTTGTAAAGTTTGTGGCTGCCTACAGGAAAAATCACACTCCCTACTGATAGTCTTTGGGACCCAGGTGGGACTTGCTGACCTGATCTAGAACAACCAGCGCAAAAGCCAGCAAGGTTAAAAGAAGGCATGGCTATGGGAGCCTGCAGAGGCGGACCATGGGTCACTCCTAAAAGTCAGAGCTTGCAAGGGGTAAAAAAGCAAAATACCTATCACCACTGCCTGCGGGCCCCAACACGGGAACACTAGGGGGAGATGAGACTGGAAGCCTCGGGTTTCCTGAAAATTGCTGTAGCTTGAGGAGGAATGCAAATGAAAGCACTTTAGCCAAGTGCTGCCGGCGGAGGCTCAGTGTGCAGGTGTAGCCACATGACCAAAGAAGCGACTAATGCCTAGGAGAAAGCTTCTCAGAATCGGGTGGCTCTTAACTGTGGTCAGTAGAAACTTCCACATACCTGCCTAGGTTAGGAATATAATCTACAGAAAGAGAACCATATTCTGACACAGGAGCTCGTTTAATTCCATTTAATTTTTTAGAATAAAGATGATTGTTTTTATTAACCTAATATGACACTGCTAGAACGGTTACAAATGACTGGCTTACTGAAAGGTGTCTACATCTTATGGCCAGTACACAAGACAGTAATAATTATTTAGGCATAAAATAGTGTTAAACTCTTCACCTAAAAAATAAAAATAAATTTTAAAAAAGGTTGTTTATGTCTAAAATTTGTCATTTTATAGGCATATTTTAAATGCACATATTTTAATTTATATCATTTTATACTGTTTATGCATATTTTGTAATTCAATAATTTTATAAGTCTCTGATGTGAACATTATATATTGAATGTATATGTTTGGGTTCCCTGATTTTCAGTCTTACTCTGATTTTATCTCCAAGAGTCCACCATACAATTTCTCCAGAGCCTCTGTCATAACTACCTTCTTCCAATCCATCCTTGATACACTTTGTTTGTTGGTGAGATGGAGTCTTGCTCTGTCGCCCAGGGTGGAGCGCAGGGAGTGCAATGACATGATCTCGGCTCACTGCAAACTCTGCCTCCTGGGTTCAAGCCATTCTCCTGCCTCAGCCTCCTGAGTCGCTGGGATTATTGGCACATGCCACCACGCCCAGCTATTTTTATTTTTCTTGATACATTTTTAAAGATTAGAGCACCCAAGATCATGTTAAGTACTAGAGACTGAATATCTATCTCAACAGGTAGTGGGATCTCTCATAGTTCAAACTTCGTATGGGATACTTTTCTATTTCCCCATGCCATGAAATAACCAAAGAAATTAACGCTATATTTGGCATGGTTAATTATGAGACTATTTCTCACTTTTTCTACTTCAGCCCTCTCTGATTGGCCTCAGCCTGTTCTGCCTACACAGGTTGACATTATATCCTCCTTTCTCCCATCTTAGATGAATAAGTCTGTTCTTTTATTATTTTATTCTGTTTATTATTTACAGTATTAATTCCCATTAATACCTCTGCTCTTTCATTTTTTTTAATTTTTTTTGTACATATGACTTCTGATCTTTTTCTCTTACATACAAAGTTATTATAAAACTGTGTAGGTATCTAATTATGATGTATTTCAGGATACTCAGGTCTAAAATTTTATATAATAACATGGATATTTTATAATAAATTTATTGGCCCTTTATATTACACTTAAGCATTATATCGATCTCTTAAGTTATGTAGATCTTATGATTTGTGATTTGTGTCTCGGGATATGAAAAATAGTCACTCTACATTTATTTTGCTGAAAAAATTTTAAACCAGATTTTAAACTAGATTTTTAAACTAGACTTTGACTAACAGTCTTAATACAGACTTCTAATTCCATCCAATGTGAAATAACTGATAATCAGATTTACTGAAACCAGCTATGAAAACTGAGGAAAATACATAAATCATCAGTTTTTTGGCACTGTACAAAAACCAACAGGTTTCCATTCTTTGGAAATGGGGAAGTATAAAAGATGAGCCCCACAATCACCCAGACTTCCCCTTGGAAACATTTTCCAGACCATGTGGTAGGAAAATAGAACCCAAATACTTACAGTGATCTTGCTGGACGGAAGCAGAGATTGAGTTTGAAACTGCTAAAGTAGCTGGAATTTGATGGGCATACAATGGAACAGATACCTCAGAAGTCTATGAAGCAATTTTTCTTAGATCCTTAGCTGAATCCTAGCCATATCCTTTAACACAACTTCAGAAGGCCTAGCAGGCATCCCCAAACTTTTTACACAGGGAGCCAGTTCACTGTCCCTTGGACCATTGGAGGGCTCCCACATACTGTGCTCCTCTCACTGACCACCAATGAAAGAGGTGCCCCTTCCTGAAGTGCGGCGGGGGGCCAGATAAATGGCCTCAGGGGGCCACATGAGGCCCGTGGTCCGTAGTTTGGGGATGCCTGGGCCCTAACAGAAAGTAAATTCCTAGCCAGATGCAGTGGCTCAAGCCTGTAATCACAGCACTTTGGGAGGCCGAAGCGGGCAGATCGCTTGAGGTCAGGAGTTTGAGATCAGCCTGGCCAACGTGGTGAAATCCTATCTCTAGTTAAAAATACAAAAATCAGCCAGGCGTGTTGTTGGGTGCCTAAATCCCAGCTACTCGGGTGGCTGGGGCAGGAGACTCACCTGAAACAGGAGGTGGAGGTTGCAGTGAGCCGAGATCCTGCCACTTCCCTCCAGCCTGGGCAAAGAGTGAGACCTTGTCTAAAGAAAAAAAAATTTTATTAAAAAAAAAAAGGAAGTAAATTCCAGGGAGACTGAGAGCTGAGCATAGCTTCTTGATCCTACATAATGTGGTGAGTGGTGAAGTCAGGTGCAGACAGAAGAGAGAAACCTTGAGCATCCCTGACATTCAAAGGATACTCCACAGACGCTACAGTTTCTAATTAAGAACAATGAAGTAGGACTACACCTAGGAATAAGAAAAACAGAGAAAAAGACCCACCCTAACAAAGCCTAAAATCAGGATGCAGGATGCCCTGCCAAACTCAATTACTGGTGTGCCTCCTCCAAGAGGAGGAAACAGAATCGTACCTAGATACTCACATTTTGAACAGATCATCTCGGAAAAAACACTTGGATGCACCAGAGAAGAGACGAGAAACACCAGCAGTAAGAAAGGAGACAGCGTGAGGCCGCTTGCCCAGCCACGAACCAACTGAGAGCCAAGAGCGGCTGCGGGATCTAGGGAAACGGGAAGAGAGAAAGCCCTAGAACTCCAAAATGGGCTTTCATGATCTTGGCTATGGGAGAAACGCTGACATAGATTCACTATAGCATCAGGCCTTGCATACGGAGCTCCCTAAAGATTGCACAGAGACGTTGCACCAGGAAGTGAGCCCACACAGAATCCCACAAGCTTCGGCACCCAGAGCAGCCTCAGCTGGGCGCCCTTTTGAGAGCCTAGATATTGGAGCTCTACAGACGCAGCTGCTGCCACTGAGCAGCTCCAAGGAGGGCGGGGGAAGAACACGTGCTCCCATGTGCCCGTGGGAGG